CGACGGTCTTGGGGTCTCTTGAGGTGTCTTGGGGGGTCGTGGGGGTCTTGCGGGGCCCTGGGGGTCTCGAGGGGTCTTGGGGGCCTTGGGCCAAGTCTTGGGTCCCTTTGGTGTATTTTGGTGTGTGGTGCCTTTAGGCCTCTTGGAGTCTTGGGGGGTCTTGGGTGTCCTGGGGGGTCTTGAATGTGCTGGGTGTCCTGGGCCAGGGTGCTTGGCGTCTTGTGGTGGGTCTTGGCGGGTCTTCTGAGAGGTCATCGGGTGGCATCGGGGTCTTGGGGGTGTGGTCTCGGGGTTGGGGTCGTGGGTGTCTTAGGGGTCTTTGGGGGTCTATTTTGCATTTGGGGTCATTGGGCCAAGTTCTTGGGGGTTGGGGTCTTGGGGGCCTGGGTGGTCTTGTGGGGTTGGGGGTGTCTTGGGGGTCTTTGGGGGGTGGGGGGGCGGGGGGGGGGGTGGTGGGGGTATAGAGGGCCCTGGGGGTCTCGGGTCCCTTTTGGTGTCTTTGGGCGTTTGGGGCTTTTCGGGTGCCGTGGGCCTCTTGGGGTCTTGGGGGTCTGGGGGGGTTTTGGGGGGAGGGGTCTTGGGGGTCGTGGGCCAAGGGTGCCTTTGGGTGTCAGAGTTTGGGGTGCCTCGGTGGGTCTTGGGCCTTGGGGGTCTTGGTGTCTTGGGGGGCTTGGGGTCTTGGGGGTCTTGGGTCCCTTTGGGGTCTTTGGGCGTGGAACGTTGAACACCTTCAGGGTCCAGTGGGCCTCTTGGGCCTCTTGGAGTCTTGGGGGTATTGGGGTTCTTGTGATTCTTGAGGGCCTTGGGGGTCGTTGGGGTCTTCGGGTGTCTTGGCGACGGTCGTGTGGGTCTTGGGGGCTTGGGTCTTGGGGGACATGGGTGTTCTTGCGGGGCCTTGGGTTGTGTGTGTCGTGTGTGTGTGTGTGGAGGGATCTTGGGTCTTGGGAGTCTTGGGGGTATTGGGTCCCTTTGGTGTCTTTGGTTGTTTATGGGTCTTGTGCATGTTGGGGTCTTGGGGGCCTTGGAGTGTCTAGGGGGTCTTGGATGTCTTGGACCAAGCGGGTCTTGGGGGTCTTGGCGGGTCCTGGGGGCCGTGGGGGGGTGCCTTCGGGTGTCATCGAGTTCTTGGGTGGTTCGGGTCTCGGGGTCCTGGGTGTCTTGCGTCTTGCGTGTCTTTGGGTGTGGGGGTATTGGGCCTTGGGCCGTGGGGGTATTGGGGGTCTTGGGGGCCTTGGGTTTCTTGTGGGTCTTGGGCTTCTTGGGTGGCCTTGGAGCGGTTTTGGTTTGGGCTTCGTAGGGCGCCTTGGGTTTCTGGGTCTTGGGTCTTCGTTAGGGACCCCCCTGCATTTCCTTTGGGTGGTCTTGTTGTTCGCGCAGGTGGTCCTGAGCCCCGTCTGGCCGTCTGGGGGGTCTTGGGCCATCCTTTGGGCTTCGGTTTCCCCTCAGGACCCAGTGCGTCTTGGAGATCCTTTTGGTTATTCTTGTTGGGCCTTTGGGGGGGAGATTATTGACGGGCCGTTTGGTCGTCTCGGATGGTGTCTCAAAGGTCGTCTTGGATCCTCCTCCGCCCTTCACCTCCTTGGGCAAAATAGGAGGCCATGGCAAACAACAAGTCATGTAAGTAAGTCCGATTGCCGCTGGGGGTCGTCCTCCCTCAGAGGATGGGCAGGGCTGCTATCTGGGCGCTCTCTGTGCGTCACCCCGCGGCCCGATCGGCAATGGGCCTCTGCCGCCAATAAGACCCTGCCCCACTCCGTCCTTCCGTTCGCCGTCCCAGCGAAATGCGGGCAGAGGGGGCCCATCCATCCTTGCCCTCCGACTGGGGGGGGGGGCAATGATCGGCCCTAGGGGTGTGCCCTCCCCTTGCGGGCATTGCGCCCGAGGGCGCCTCGTGGTGGCGGGGCTTCGCTTCCCTGTTGTTTTTTCGTTCGGTTTCGTGCGTTCTGAGAATTTCGATTGCGAACCGAGCCGAGGCGACGAGGGAGACAGACCCTGGGGACCGACGAAATACAAATCGCCCGCTTCTTCTCTCCTCCACAGTTGCGCGCTCTGGCAGCACCGAGGAGCGGCCTTCGCGGCGTCTCCGGTGTCTTTCGGTGGTTTGGGTGTCGTGGGCGTCTCGGGTGCGTTGGGCGCTTCGGGCTACCATCGGGTGTCTTGGGTCTTGGGCCCCTTGGGCCTCTTGGGCGTCGTGGGGTGCTCTTGGGGGTATCGGGGGCCTTGGGGATCTTGGGGGTCTTGGATGTCGTGGGGGGTCTTGGGTGTCTTGGGGTGTCTTGGGGTGTCTTGGGGTCTTGGGGTGGTTTGGGGGTCGTGAGGGGTCTTGGGGGTCTTGGGGGTCTTGGGTCCTTTTGGGGTCTTTATGGGCGTTTGGGACATTCAGGGGGTCTTGGGTCTTTAGGAGTCTTGGGGGTCTTGGGGGGCCTTGGGGGGTCTTGGGGGTCTTGGGGGTCTTGGGGGTCTTGGGGGTTCTTGGGGGGTCTTGGGGGGTCTTGGGGGGTCTTGGGGGTCTTGGGGGTCTTGGGGGTCTTGGAGGTCGTTGGGTGTATTGGGGGTCTTGGGGTGTCTTTTGGGTCTTGGTTCTTGGGGGTTATTGGGGGTTCTTGGGGGTCTTGGGGGGTCTTGGGGTTTCGGGTGGTCTCGGGGTGCCTCGGGGCGGTTTGGGCTGCTTGCTGGGGGCACGAAACGCGTGAGGGGCGCGCCAACATCGGGCAAGGGGGCGCATGCGAACGCAGCCGTTGGGAAGCAATAGTTGCATGTGGGAGCTGCGCCACAACCGTCCCTTGTGGCCATGCGCTTGACCTCGCAGGCGCATTTTTTTGCACGCCGTGGGTTTCGAATTCGTTCTTTGCAATGTCGCATGGTGCATTTCTGATGCAAGACCACGTTTGGGAACAAAAGGCAGTGCGTCGCCGAATCGAGAGCACGTGCTATGATTTGGACATGCGCGTCAACACAACGTGTCACAATAGCATGGGCATGGTGAGAATCCATATTCGGTTAGGTGGCCCACGCATGGGCATCACTGTCGTGCTAAAGAGTTGGTTTGCGCCTATTCCAAGATAGCACACTAAGCTGCTTTCGAACCGCAGCCCCCTTTCTTCCCCCTCGAGACGCACTGGGGGGCCCAACGGTAGCGACATGGCAACGTTTTCCAACCGTCCTGTGGTATTGGGTTCTTTCTTGAAATACAGCGCGTTGCAAGATTGCTCGTTGCTCCTCCCCTACCACCACCACCGTTCTGGGTGGATCCGAACCATCCTGTGGTGTTGGGTCCTCGTTTTGAAGAGCCGTTCCCCCCGCGTCTCGGTCTCCTCCTCATTCTTATCCTGCTTCTCCCTCCTCCCTCCCCCTCCTCCCATCGACGGTATCACCACCATCGTCAACGTCACCCCTCGCACGTTCCGTAGCCCCATAGCCACGGAACGCGTGAGCGAAATGCCGACATGGGTGGCGGTCCCGCATGTCCGCGCTGCCACTGGAGCCTTCGATTGAGCTCCCTATGGGGCCACGGAGCGTGTGAAGGGTGTGCCGAAATGGGCGGCGGTCCCGCATGTCAACGCTGCCACTGGGGCCTTCGGTGGAGTTCACTATGAGCTACGAGACGCGTGAGGGGCGTGCCGAAATGAGCGGCGGTCCCGCATGTCAACGCTGCCACTGGGGCCTTCGGTGGGGCTCCCTATGGGGCCACGCAGCGTGCGAGGGGTGTGTCGAAATGGGCGGCGGTCCCGCATGTCAGCGCTGCCACTGGGGCCTTCGGTGGAGCTCCCTATGGGGCCACGCAACGTGTGAGGGGTGTGCCGATATGGGCGGCGGTCCCGCATGTGCCAACGCTGCCACTGGATCCTTGGGTGGAACTCCTTATGAGGCCACGAAACGTGTGAGGGGTGTGCCGAAATGGGCGGCGGCCCGCATGTCAACGCTGCCATCGCAGCCTTCGGTGGGGCTCCCTATGGGGCCACGCAACGTGCGAGGGGTGTGCCGAAATGTGCGGCTGACCCGCATGTCAACGCTGCCACTGGGGCCTTCGGTGGAGCTCCCTATGGAGCCACGCAACGTGTGAGGGGTGTGCCGAAATGGGCAGCGGTCCCGCATGTCAGCGCTGCCACTGGAGCCTTCGGTAGATCCCCCTATGGTGCCGCGAAGCGTGTGAGGTGTGTGTGCTGAAATGAGCGGCGGCACCGCATGTCAGTGCTGCCACTGGCGCCTTCGGTGGGGCTCCCCATGGGGCCACGAAGCGTGTGAGGGTTGTGCCGAAATGGGCGGCGGTCCCGCATGTCAACGCTGCCACTGGATCCTTCGGTGGAGCTCCCTATGGGGCTACGGAACGCATGAGGGGTGTGCCGAAATGGGCTGCGGTCCCGCATGTCAACGCTGCCACTAGAGCCTTCGGTGGAGCCCCCTATGGGGCAACGAAGCGTGTGAGGGGTGTGCCGAAATGGGCGGCGGCCCCGCATGTCAGCGCTGCCACTGGGGCCTTCGGTGGAGCTCCCTATGGTGCCACGAAACGTGTGAGGGGTGTGCCGAAATGGGCGGCTGTTCCGCATGCCAACGCTGCCGCTGGAGCCTTCGGTGGAGCTCCCTATGGGGCTACGAAACGTGTGGGGCAATGCTGATGATGGTGGTGATGTCGTCGATGGGAGGAGGGAGGAGGGAGGAGGGAGAAGGAGGAGAAGAAGGAAGAGGAGACGCGGGGGAAAGTCTCTTCAAAACGACGACCCAACACCACAGGATGGCTGGGAACAAAACGCTAAAGGGGGTATGATGGCCGCTGGTCGGATCGCATTCGCACTTGTTGATGCGCGAGTTATATGGACAATGGCCATGTTTTCAAGGTTCTATCATTGATGGGCCTATGTTTGCCAGCCGCCAGCCTGGATCATCTCTAGCGGGGTTGTGTGGTTTCCTCTCTTTGGCCAAGCTAGATTGCCCAACCGTGTTCAAGACAATGCCAATTCTTCTGGAATTTTAAGTTTGTGTCAGCCAGCCTGCGTTGCGTTATGGTTCGTGTTTCCTTCCAGAGGGAGGACTTCTTCAAGGAGTCGCACGAGGTCAAGGGGTGGAAGCTGAGTTTGGTCGACAACCCCGACGACCCGACGTCCAAAATGCAGGTCGTTGTGATGGCGGACAGCAAGGAGCTCCGCGAGGCGAACATCGGCATCGCGATCGAATACGGCATCGAGAGGTTGACGTCAGAGTCGGAGTACAAGGTTTTGGCCCAAACGCAGTTGTATGCCAAGCAAGCGAAGAGTGTTTTCGCAGATATGATAAAAAGCATCTGGTTTGGAGGATCCTGCGTACAAGCGCGCTCGCCTTGCCACTCTCACGGCTGAGGATTGCACGGTGACGCTCCCAGACAAGAAGGGCGACGACGACGGCGCGGAGGATGGCGGCTTAGACGAGGGCGGCGATGGCAAGGAGGCCGCGCAGGTGGAGGACGGTCACGACGTCCCCGCACAACGGCAAGATATTGGATATTGGGCAAAGTTGAATGCCAAGGACTGGGCCTTTGTACACACGTGCGTCCCATGCGCCTTCGACGATTATGTGGCGGATGAGAACGAGACTGCTGTGAGCATGGCGCCCACTGCAGCCAACTTGGCCATCGGGCTCGGCGAGAATTTCGACCAGGTGCTGTCCGAGAAACTCAAGGCCATCAACCTCACCACCATTGCATCGGGAGTGTCCATGCTGGGCCACCGCCGTGCCAGGATGAAGTCGAAGAGGGACCAGTTTACGATGTCGGCCAATTCGCAGGAGAGCGAGGCCGCCAATATCATCACAGACAAGTTGAACTTGGCTCAGGACGCAGAGGACCTCAGCAAGCCTGAGCACATGTTCTCGATGAGTGACGCAGAGTTTCGCACGAAGCTCGGGAGCCTGTCTGCTGCGGGCATGGTCATGCCAGTGAGCTTGGCAGTTGAAATCAACAGCAGGAAGGCTTCCGAGATTGGCAAGAAGTTACTCGAAGAGGATGGTCATACTAAAATCCCTGACTTTTTCAATGTGGTGATGCCTGTGGGCGCCGCGGCGGACGACGGCAGCGAGCATGCTGCAGTCGACGCCAGCGAGGGGTACGACTGGAGATCTCCGTCAGCCCGCCTCGTCCCTGGAACTGAGGCCAGCATGTGCATTCGGTTCGAGAGCGCCACCTTCAGTTACTTTGTGAAGCCTCTCTTCAATGCTTGGGGCACATCGCTGTCCCACGATGCGTGCGAGAAGCTGGCGGCAGATGTGGGCGCTTTCTTGATCGAGAACGCGCCTCATGACGCCCCCGAGGTGATCCAAGCATCGATCAACAAGGTCATCGAGTGCATGCGCGCGGCGCTGTACGTTCAGAACCCGCTGAATGTCGCCAACCTCTCCGACTTTGAGAGTCTCTCATCGGCGACGGCTTTGGATGACAGCGGCTGGAAGGGCATCCTCTACAACACGTTCGAGTTGATGGGCGAGTGCAGCTCCTTCAAGGCGCCGCTCCTGTCCATCAGGAGGACTAAGGTCATACGCCATCCAAGGGAAGCTAGTCTTTAGAGTTATCTGCTCCCATACTCCATCCTTCTCGCCTTTGTTCTCCTTCTCCTCCACGTTCCTCCTACGTCTCCTTGGCCTTCTCCTCCTCGCACTCCCTCCTGGTTATGTTCTGCCTCCTCTTCTCCAGGATCCTCATCCTCAGTTGCCGCCCCACCTCCTCACCATCGTCGTCCTCTCCTCGACCACCCCGTTCCATCGTAGGATCTATGCCGATTAGCTTCGCACGGGGGTTGTGCGAAAGGTGACCCACGCAGTCAACGTCGAGAAGATCAACATGGCAGTGCAGATCTTGTCATCTCTATCTGGTGATGCAACGGATGAGCAGGTCACGGCCACTCGGGCGTCAATGACAGACACGGTGAAGAATCTAACTACTTTGAGGGCTGGGTCGAGGGATAAGTCGATGCGCGTCCTGGACGAGAAGCTGGCAACGTTCTGCGGGTGCGTCGCTGACCAGGGCTGTTGGCACGACTGGGGTCCAACTAGAGAATGTCAGTGTCTGGTGGCACGTCGGGGCATAGGGGCACTTAGGTTGTTTTAGGAAGGTCCGTCACTGATCATCTCACCCGTACTTCGTGTTTTTGAGCGGGTCGGTTTTGTTGATCCACAGCAACGGATCTCAATAAGACAAGTTCTGGTCGTGGTGTTGCAGGGCCTTCCAAACGATTAAGGTTTTATTCTGGTGTCTGCCCTAGGCCAATTGAGAACGCGTAACTAAATACGTTGTGTACGTTCTGTTGCGCGTGTTCTTTGGTTATTTGCGTGCCCTTGTCCTTGCTAACAGACTTGTCCTACACCTAGTGCCCAGGTAATCAGAGAATTTGGTCGAGTCCATGGCCGATGGTTTTGTCTTGGGCGTTATGGTCTCGGTGGTGTTTCCCATGCGTTCCGAGGCATTGTGGTCTGACACGTATGTTGGCAGCCGCCCCCATTCAGGTAGATGGTGGTCCCGAGATCGATTATGAAAAGTGTAAAACTTCATATATTTCGGGGTTGCCTTCATGCGCTTCGCATGCGCCAGATTGCAAAGCTTACGGCTGGCCTTTGTGTGACGCTATGCGTTTTCAAGCCCCCCCTCCACCCATTGGTGATTCGTAGCCGGGTGTCGGTGGCAAGCCCTTGGGTTGCTTCGGCTCCCGTAAGGCTCTTGCGATCGAGACCCTGTGGAAGTCGAATGTCACTTGCGATGCTCCCAAGCTGACGTCGACAATCGACGGGCTAAAGCAGATCTCGACTTTCTTGGAGTATGCTTCATCTGGTAACCTTGCAGGCGTGCCGCCCAGATGCGCCGCGGCATCAGAAGCACGCATGGACCTGTCGAGGCACATGTCGATCGAACTATCGAAGATCGGGTTGGCTGGCCGTCTCACTGAGATCAGTGTCACAGACTTCTTCGACCAGGCCAAGAAGGCCACCTTCATGGGCCACCTCGCCGAGATCCTGAGGGTCGCGGACCTCGAAACGCCCTTCCCTGCTGACTCGACCACCGCTGCAGAAGAGTTGCTCCAGAAGCTGCTCGAGCATATCGCGAGTGATGAGGCTGGCATGGCTGGGCAAAAGGCGTCGGAGATGTTGCCCGTCGTGGGGAAAGTCATGGAGCTCCTTCACCCTTCGACGCCGCCGAGGCAGGAGTGGATTACAATGCACAGGCTGATGACCACTGCAGTTGACGCCAGGACCGCCCTTCTTCACTACAAGTCTCTTGGCAATGATGCGGCGTCCAGGGTTGCTTCTGATAAATCTGGTGTTCTTCTCAGGGGGCTGTTCGGTGCCAAGAAATCGGTCCTTGCACAGTCCAGGCAGGCAGACGACAAATACATTGACAGCGTATCCATGCCTACGTTCCATGCTGCGATCGACGAGCTCATCGATTGCGACTCCAAGGCGAGGTACGAGGCCGCGAGGGCAGAGGTCGACAAGATCTGGACGATGCCGATGGACCCTGATGATACCGCCAGCGGCAGCCTCAAAGATTGCTACCAGGGCACGTTCGACGGGAGCAATTGGCGTGATGTCATCAGTGCCTCGGCGGACTACGACGTGATTTCCAAGCATGCTGCCAGAACGATCTTGTGCTTGGACCCCATCAGGTTCAAGGCTGCGGTCTCTAAGTTCCAGAAAGCGTTCGGGGACGCCCAGCTCGAGAGGGAGGGGCTGGACGTGAAGCCTCTCACGCAGTGGGAGGTCGAGCAGGCGGCGAGGATCGCCAAGGCGGTCACGACCTCGCGCGAGGCAACGATGATGGCCATCTTCGCGAAGTTCAAAGACAATCGCAACACGTTGCAGTCCAAGGTGAGGCTCGAGAAGAATGCCGCTGAGAAGTCCAAGCCGAGCAGCTGGGAGCACGTGCACGCGTCGGTGAAGAAGTGCGCGGAGCACGCCATCAAGTTGCTCCCTCTTTAAGCAGGCGGCCGGCCAGCTCTATTCAGTTGTTGCTGGTTCGGTGGCCAGTTTTATTCAATTATCGCTGCTCGCAGTTTTATTCATTTGCTGCTGGCATGGCTGGCGAGACCAGCGCTATTCAGTTGTTGCTGGCTCAGTGGTTTGTGCAACAGAAGTGGTGCATGAGCACCCACAGTATGGCATGACAGCATCCAGACACATACCATGAGCAATAACACACACACGCATGTTTGACGAGGTTGCACTACCACTGTCTTTGCTCGGGTGGTGAGTTCACCCGAGGCGCGAGGCTGCCACTGAACGACTGCAGGCAGCACCCGCCCTTCAGACAACATAACAAGAAAACAATATTGTATCCAATGGCATGCGCCGTATGCTACATAGCGTTTGTGAGCTCAGGATTGCGAGGGTATCTCAGGCGAAACTGGCCAACCTGTCGCAATGTTTCGAAATACTTGTGCCGTTTAGGAAAGAGACGGCTTGAGGTCAACATGAAGATTGGGATAGGACGTCTGGGGGGGCGTCTCGGTGGGCAGTCATCTTGGGGGGGCGTCTCGGCGGGCAGTCTAGGGCCGAGCTGTCTTGGTGGAGCTGTCTAGGGGGAGCAGTCTAGGAGGAGTCGTCTAGGAAGAGCCCTTTTGGTGGCCAGCTTAGGTTGGGCAGTCTTGATAGAGCTGCCAGGATAATCGATGTCACGTCCCTCCCTCTCTGATAATTTCCAGCTTCCCCTCCCTCTTCTGACCCCCCCCCGTTATCCCTCATTTCTCCTTCCGCCATTCTTTCTCATGTCTTGCCTCTGCCATCCGTTTCCCTGACTCCCCCGCTCCCCCCGCCAAACCTCAATCCATGATTTTTCCTCTACTTCACAGCGGCTTGCATCACAAGGCTCATGAATTTCCTTGCCACGAGTTGGCGAATGATTGTTCCAGCCTATGTCCAACAATGCCAGCACGTGCCACCATGCGCGCACAGCAGTCCTTCCTTTTGTTTCTGCGCATGTGTCGCTAAGGTGTTGGCTTGTCAAGAACCAGCTCCTGACGCAATTTTTCAGAAATCCGCGATCAATTCAAAACCAATTGAAAAGCATTTTTTCCATAATTCGTTTGAAGGATGTCCTCAAGGAAACAAAAAACTCAACGCGAGCCTCGTCCCCGCGCCCCGGCCCACGGGGCTGCCCCTGCGCGCTGAGCCTCTGGGCTCCCCACCGCCGCCGCCCAGCACCTCCTCAGACTATGGTCAGGTTGGCGGCCGCCATGCTGCTGGCCACTCCCTGCGCCATGCCCCTCGCCTCCCAGAGGTACCGTTCGAAGGCGTCGCCGTTCCAGCGCCCCCGCCCTTGCGCCGGCGCTGTGTGTCCTTGCGCGCCGCGTGCAGGGCTGACGCGCCGCCGATCTGCAGGCTGCGGGGGCCTAGATCGTTCGGGTCGATTCCCTCTGCCGCCGCCGCCTGCATCGCCGCCCGCTGGACATCCGCCGGGGCCACCAGCCGGTCGTCGTCGTGCGCGAGGAGCGGGTCGTGCATCCTGAGGCCCGAGAACCGCTGCCTCGCCCATCCCTTGTAGATAGCCAAGGCCTCCACGACGCAGATGTGAGCCTCTACCTCTGCCTCCGCCCCTGCCGTCGCCTTTGCTTTGAAGTGTTTGCGCCGCCCCCCGCGGATTGTACTGGTCAGTCTTGCTGGCCCGGATCTTGATGACCACTTCGCCCGCCGCAGGCCAGCTGCGGCGCGGCTCGCCCGCTGCCCTCAGCGTGACATCCACCCCGCGCAAGCCCTTGTTGCCCGTGCAGCCGTTCTGGTCGCTCGATGCGTGCTCGCTGGCACGCAGCAGGAAGAAGTAGCCCCTGGCGACCGCCGCCCACCTGGCTGCTCCCTCTCGCGACTTCTGGCCGCAGCTTCCTCCTGATCCACCGCGTCGTGCGAGGCGTGGCGGGCCTCTTCCTCTTGGGTGCTCCGTCGCGCCGCCTGAGCCCGTCAATCGCCATCCAGAGTCGCCCTGCTCCCGCCGTGAGGTCGCTCGTGCCCGGCGCCAGATGCGGCGCCGTCGCAGCGCTGTGGCACTGCTTGATCGCGCCTGCCTTCTCGAGCCCTCGCCTCGACAAGTGCGCCGCGAATGCCAGCGGCAGCTCCTCCTCCGCCCTCCAGTTCGACGCGGTGACTCCCCGCGGCGGGCTAATGCCGCGCGCTATGCAGAATAATGACCACCGGCGCCAGCCCGGGCTATAGGACTTGATCTTGGAGCCCGCCAGCTCGTCCAGGATGAGCCCCAGCTCGGCCCCCCCCCAGTCTTCCGGCGTCTTCGGGTCCGCGAGGATGAGGTCGTCAGGCTTGGCGTTGGCAAGCGCGGCCTCGGGCCCCAGTAAGTCGGCTCGACGCTCGCGCCCTTGCGCTTCCCGCGTTGGGCATTGGCACCCGCTCTGCGCCCCTCTGCTTCCTCGGGCTCCAGCGCCGCGCGAGCCCAGTCCAGCCAGCCTGCCCTCTGCTCGGGGTCGCCCCGTGCCTTGGCCAGCCGCTCCAGCTCCGCCTGCGCCGCCTCT